GATACAGAGTAATCTCATTGGTTCATATAAGAAATCATGGATGACGTTCTCAGAATACGCCGAAATCTCAATGTGTTGGTTGGTAGGAACAATGGTCATATGTCAATAACAATGCGTCTCTGAAAGCATGAATATACTAATAACACTGAAAATAAAAATGATCCCCTGTTCCAGTTGGTGAACTGGCATTAAAAATCGCGAAACGAATTTCACAGGATATTAAATGTGTGAGTCTATAATGTTATTATACTCGTGTAATGACTTACATGTTATCGTGTCAATAACTACAAGATTTGATATTGCACTGTCATTTGTCGAATGCCAGAATATGGACAACAGTACAAGAAATAACAAATAAACCAAACGTTTATGTACATAATGTGTTTAATTTTCATCAACCGTAAATTAATTACACAAACTTACACCTAATAATAATTTAACACAAATATTATCTTAATTTAATATATATATATAATGTAATGCTGGGGTCTTTATAAATTGAAGTGGACTCATAAAATAACTATATATGATAACATAACATCATAACTATCTTAATCATAATTTAACTACAATTATATATTATACTGAAAGTTCATTATCCAATAGCAAGCCGCGAAACATTTCAACTCTGTTCATGTATCAGAGCGCATTGTTGATTGGCCTGCTCAAATTGCCTCACCACTGACCGTTGTTACTTTTGTTCTAAAGCTATTACCCGTTCGAGTCTGACTGTTCACAACATGTCGCGTGGTGGCTGTGCTCTCCGGTTGTACTTGTGGTGATCGACATTTATAAAAAAATGGAAAGAGTTTTTTGAATTCTTTTCTAAAATTCTCATTAAAATACGCATAAAGAAACGGATTAATCCAGCTATTGCAGAGAAAAATAAAAATAGATAAATTTGCTGGAACGATCGACCACAAGAAGGGACTTTTTGGAAAGGTTTCAGCCCAGGTGAAGTAGAATTGAAGGGTGTGGTTTGGGAGCCACGTTAGTGCGAACTGTAGAACGACGAAGCTAAGCATTTTCACGGCTTTCTTTTTATTACGACTGCTTGAATTAGTCGGTGACTTGCTGAACCACAAGGTGAACACCATGATTGAGTATAAAATAATCAATATGAATAGTGGAACAACGTAAATGAAAATTAAATCGGTTAAGCGAAACCAATAATCCGTGTTTTCATCTTCGATGTAACATTCGTACACTATTTCACTTTCGTAAAATGTTTCATTGCCACGCTCAAAGAAAAAAGTCTCGTTCCAAAAAAGTACATCATTCACCGATAATTTGAAAGAGGAGTATCCCAGGGAGCAAATCCATACTATAGTGCATCCAATCAAGGCATGTTGCACGGTGAACCGAGGCCTCATAGGCTGCACAATAGCTCTATAGCGGTCCACTCCGATACAGATAAGTGAAAACGTAGTCCCACACTGTGCCGCCCAGTGTAGATATCCCAATAGCTTGCACACCGCCCTGTTGGATATCGGGAGACGGTACGCAAAATGTCCAACGTGGTAAGGAATGAAGAAGACCGCTATCATTAGATCGGATACCGATAATGAGACAATAAACAGATTTGTTGCGGAGTTCCTCAATTTGGGTTGACGAAACACGGCTATTATCACCCATATGTTCCCGACAATAATCATTATCATAAACACAACTCCAAATGCCACTGTCAATGGTGGTGGTGTGTCCAACTTGGCAGCTTTCTCTTCCAATGCGCCATAGTCATATGAGAAAGATTCTTCATCACTGTATTCTGCGTATTCCGACATATTCAATAATATGATCTGATTAAAACGAATATTAAGTAAAAGAAAAACATGTAAATAGCGATATATAACAGTCTCCAATAAAACAAATTTTGTTCATGGAGCTTACAATAACTTCCGGCGACTAAGCTGAAAGTTTTATAATACTTTAGTCGGGACACCATTAACCTGCACAAACTCAACCGACATCCAATCTTGATATTAACGCGTTAAGGACTTCGAAACTACATGCAATCGATTTAGAAATAAGCTAAACAGTTGAACAGCAGTTGTTTAATGCAAATAGTATACCTCATATCCAAACTCAAGCTGTTTTATGGCTAACGTGTTTGCAATATGTAGTATATGAGAATTTAATAATAAATGCATACAATCCCTGAAACATATCTACTGTTTTTTTCGGTCAGATCATCTTTTATACGTTAATTAGTTTCATATATAAATGAAGTGTGTTCCTCTGGCTAAGTTGTACAAGTCATGCGCCGAAGACAATTGGAAGCAGTAACCGATAGTTTTAATAAAAATCAACGGTATAAATTCCACAGTCACGTGGCTGAAAGAACACAATAATGGTAATATTCTAAACTCCGTTTGATTGCCCCAGTCTATGATTTAATATAAATCCAAACTCACAAAAAATGTGTTGTTCGTAGTAGAAAAGATATATATGCTTTTTTTGCGACAGTCAAATGATGTTTACTTATCATAGCCACTAGTGTTTCATATACGGCGTAGACATATAACTACATGCCGAAATGTTGGTCCGGAAAAGCGGCGTAATAAAATAACACATTTAGAGGTGTGAAGACAGTGTTACTTTGCTATAAGAGTAGTAATTTGTTTCTTAATCGATAACGCCTTAATTTAAAGAAACCTAAATTACGACAGACAATGAATACCGTTCTTTGTCTACTCGTGGCCTATGACAGATTTACTGCTGTCATTTGTATTACTGTATCGCGTGTCTAATTAACCACGCTTCGTGTACCGCATTCAACCACCTTTAATAAATGAACGCTCCGCTGCGTTTAAATACCCTAGATATCGTTAGCCGTGGGCCGCCCCACCCACTCTCACTTTTCTGCAATTTAGAAGTGTGAAACAAGTGACAAGTCAATTTAAGTACATGTATTTAGCTTATCCATGATAATTAGTATTATTTTGTTCATGCTATGTATTATGAATTATTTCCTAGTACGTGGAGAGATTGATTGGAAAACATTTTATCGTATTTTAGACAGTTATTGTGTCAATCGTTCATTGCTCGAATGTACGTGTAATTTCCCATTAAGCGTTTGGACGCACACATAAAATTCCAAGTGGCGAGATAAGTCTCCGAAGCCAAGAACCGATACACTCACATTTGCTTGTGCGTGCACCAACGATATGAAGAGCTGATAAGTATTGTCAGCGTTAATGTTTATAAATGAAATGTAGAATAATGACCAATTATTTCAAATTGCGCAGCATGGTTTCTTAATGTTGTGTCGATTAACTAACAATTGGGAATATTGCTCGATCAGTGCGTATACCGAGAATGTCACGTCAGTAAAGACGTATCGATGTTCTGGGTTATGTTAAAAGGTATACAGCGTAACAAACTGCGGAACAAGACGGTTAAGTACATATTTACTGAGCTCACAGTTCTAAGTGAAACAACTAATTTGCTTTCGAAGACAAATGAATGTTTTATATTACGCATTGGATGGTTATTTGATAGCTAGCTACTATCGCGTTCTTATCGGTGCAATTGTAGTGAATTATATTCTGCGAAACCAACCAATTTATTGGATAATTGAGTGTATAATAAGCTTAATTCCACAATATGTATGAATAATTTTTTTTTACAACATCAATATACGTAATTATCTTCATATATCGTGATATAAAGACAAACTGTTATCACAACAATAGTCTATGCTCACCTTTCAAACAGTAATAATGTGTAAGCAGACCGTATGGCTGACAGTGTCGTTCATGCTCGGCTCCGTTTCCTGTATATGATCGCTGGAGATACAGGTATTATCACGGTGATATACCAAAGGTTTCTATAGCGACGACGTTAGTAAGGCGTACTCGATTGGCCAGTGTCTCTGTGACGAGACAGGAGTCCTACTGGTGGTTTCGTTTCACGTCATGTGCGCCGATAAATGTTCATTCGGTTCTTTTTACGTTAACACTTCCGGTGTGATATTGACATATAATATATACAGATGTATGTAGTAATACCATGGGAATATCTAACTACAAGATCGTTTATTTATTCTGCAATTTGAAGCCATACGGGTATAGTTTGTTTAGTTTATCATTCATTCACACGCGCTTTAAATGGACTGAAGTATGATACAAAAAATAACAAAATCAAGCAAATGGTAAAATGGGGAAAGCGATGCTGTTCATTACAATTCAATTCGTGTCTCCTCTGTGAACTTATTCATTGCGTCATCATGGGTTAGGGATGTTAAAAACGCATATGCGATTGTATTAGTAACACACGTAATACAATAAACATCAATACGTAGTATTTACCGATGATGGCTTAAGGAAAGGGTGAGAACAAAATAATATTAGTAATGTAATAACGCAGCTTACATCTAACAACTCGCATGGTGCATTGAAATACTCAATATGATATTCTTCGCATTGGTGTGTATAAATTGAATTTTTAGAAAGGAAGGGAAATGCCCTGGGTAAACCTAATGATGTTACAAATAAATGGTTTGTCTTAATGTATTTTATTACAAATCTAAAGTTACTGTATATTTGTGATATGTTCTTATTCTATCAATCGGACTCTCTTCTGAACTGTGTTTCTTGTGAAATCGTGTTATGTGCGTGGCGTGATGGATAGTGCTTAATTATAACGCAGTTGATCATTTGCTTGGCAACCAAATTGTTTCAAAAATACATAACGCAGTCCGGGTGAAAATAATAATTTATTCCCGATAATGCAAATAATTATCAGTGATATGTTTTAAGGACCTTGTTTAAAACGTACAATAATACGTCAGTGGCGTAAGATGCGAATAAAACGATGATTAAAGCGATGTAATTGTCTTATCCAATAACATCAGGAAACGTTAAAGTAGAGGGAATATACTGCTATTTAATGTTTATAAATAATAAGACAACATATAACTTGTATTTGATTGCAGCAATGTTATTGTCACTTATGACAAGGTCAACCCTGTTTGTGACATCTCAAGATTGTACACACGCGTCACGTACAAACATGATAGTAAACGACTCGAGAGTTTTGCACTTGATTAAAGTATAATCAATTCCTTCATGTATTCATTTGGAAAGGTGATTTCTCCAACGATTACAATGCACGTACTTACTCACAGTGGAAAGTATATGTTTTCAAATACAAAATTGGACAGATTTCTTTGCACTTCTATTGAATGTGCTTTTTCGAGAGCAGCAATTGTTATAGAAAAAAACTGTGAGAGTATTTTTTCTATCGCCATATCGACTAATTTAAAGAAAACGGTTTCTTTGGACTACGGCGTCATTTATGCTGCAAGATGGCAATTATTGATTTCAAATACTGCAGCGAGTTCCAGTCGAAATTGATCAGAATTGAAATTAGAGCTGGTATCGGTGAGTTCGTACTTCTTGAAAATTCACAGTACTAGAAAATAGTATTCACAGTTACTGTAATCGGTAAAAAGAGTGTTTACAGATTGTCCGAGTGCAATATACAGAAACAAAGTTTCAATGTTGTTTTCTGTTCGATTTTTTGATTTCGAGCACTTACTACACGCATACTAATAATTGAACTACATAGAATATGTTCAAGTACAAATCTAAATGTATACTGAAATTGTAATTTGTACGTGATAACGTGTTTCTGAATGAATATTTCAAATAAACAATTGCAATAAATACACCTGGGACATAAACAATATTTATTCTCGCTATTGTTGTTCCAAATTCAATTACGTCGTTCGATGAAAAGGATTCACTTTCATTTGATGATCTGAATAATTTCAAACATCATTGTAGTGTATCTACACTTATGGTATGGTTTATCTAATTTATTATGAGACTAAAATGTTGAAAATATATAACAAATTTCCATGGAATCGTTCATGACACGAACTTGAAAAATTAGTTAATTCAGTAGGAGATAGATATATATGCATATGGACCCCATCGTACACATGGAGTTATGTCAGGGGATTCGAATCGTGTGAGCACGTCCTGTGCCACAAGCGGTATCTGCCACATATCTTTCAAAGTCACAATCAAGTAGTTTATGTTTGAAACTGAATTAGGTATCAGTAGTTTGTGCTGAGTAAACCAGAAATTTGTTATGGAGTTGGACGTCATCTCTCTTCACAATACGTACTGTGTTCAGCTCTTATGGCCTCGTGTAACACACTCGCAAATTGTGGCAAGGTTGACGACACGTGTAAGTAATTACAACTTAGACGTCATCACACAGTCCCCCTTGAAATGCATGTTCACTTGAATGCACTTATCTCTCTGTTCGTGTTAATGTAACATTTATTTATCGATTTCTCCATTCGCTGCCATGTCGTTGGACTTCAAACTACGTTAAGATGGTTAAACTGTTGAGCTCAGATTTATTTCGCACGAAGAGTATAATCACTCTCAGTACATATGTAACTAAGGTATTTGTGATTGTGACCATTTTAGCAACATATTTAAGCTGCACTGAGAGCATTAATATATAACACGCGTACTAGTAGTCGATATACTTGAAAGATTGCATTTCAATAAATTAACATATATGTAATTTTCCGCTGATAGCATTTGATCATTTAAACAAGATTCTTCTAGACGATTACAATGTATTGCCTTTCAATATATTTGCTCAGCTATTTTGTACTTGAACGTGATAATTCAAAGACAATAATATTCTAACAACAACTTTCCTTAAATTGGGTTGGCGACCAAGCAATTGAAGTTATATTTTTCCCCGAATTTATATTGGCACTGATACACTATTCATTGTAGACGTGCAAGGGTGTTAT